GGGCGGCGGCGGGGGCGCCCAGCGCAGCCCTCCCTTCCCCCCCCGGTCCCGCTAGCGCCTTTATTCCACGGCGCCCATTGGCGGGGGGGGGGGGGGGGGGGCGCCGCCGCCCCCCCCCCCCCCCCCTCCCTCCCCGGGCTCCGGGCCAGCTCAGCCCCTGCGCGGGCAGGCGGAAGCCGCGGCACAGAACCCCAGCCAAAGCCCGGGGACGGGACCCGCCGCCCTCGCTGCGCATCCCTCCTCCGGAGGCACCTGCCTCTCCCGCTCCGGGGCACAGGCCGAGCCCGCGCCTCTTCCAGCTGCCCCCGTCCTCAGCTATCCCCTGGGCCACGCTTAGGCACCTCACCGCTTCTGCATGTTTCCCCCCGCTCCGGCTTTACAACTTCCCTGTCCCACACGTAAAGGACAAAGCGTGAGCACAGGAGACATCTCCATCCACCACAACGCCTGAGCGATAGAAGCCACACCTGCAGTCCCTGAAACTAAAGGCTGACCCTCCCCATACCGATGTGCAGCTGCCTGTAAGAAACCGCTTCAAGACTGAAAACAGAACCCGGGAACTTTGTTTTAACCATTAATAAATGCTGAGCCGGCTTCCTGGCGGCTGGGCACCTGTTTCCGGGATCACTAGCTCTCCAGCTGAAATTTTGATGGCTCAGCCTGTAAAAACTTTTTGCAGGTTGCAGACGGCGGGCGGAGCACCAAAATGAACCACCGCAGGAGCTTTAAGAGCTACAGTTTCTGCTCAGACAGCTACTAGCTGGGGTTGATGCTTTAAAATAGGAGATTAATGATTTTATGAAAGACTTAAAACCTAGACTGGCTCTTGGGAGTCCAGCTGGAGAAAAAAATCTTTGAAAGCAGTATCTTAAACACAGAAAGATTCTTTAAAATATCAAGACATTCCACTCCAGGTCACCAGAAGTCAGGAATCTCAGAGGTGGGTGTTGGAGCTGAACTAAGGCTGTGGCTTTGCAGCATGTGTCAGGTCTGTGAAATGCACACATCCACGGTATTCTAGAACTGAGCTTTTACATTTCCTAAGTCCTTGGTGATCAAGGTTTGGATTTAATAAATAACTAGGCACTTGAGCAACTTTACAGACAAGAACGATTTAACTGGTTTCATGAACTTGAATAATGAGGACTAGTATTTTGGTGAGACAGTTTTGCATTTAATTTCATGTATTTTAGATGACAAAAGAACTCCAACTGAGGTATGTCCATGAAAGTGGCATATACATTTAACTATTTCCAAACTGTTAGGTAATATAATTGGAAATGCCTCAAATACAAGTAAGAACTGAGCATCTGAACTGGCCAGCCTGAGTTGTAAGACTGAAGTCAAGCCTTTATCAAGCCAAGCTTCATTATCTTGAAGCTCCACTAGCACAGTCGTTCTTTGGAGAACTTTTGACAAAGGAAATCCTGTTTGGGGAGTTTTTTTCTTGTTTTGCAGACCACAGTAACACAAATAATTAGAGTGTTTCTAGAAATTAAGCCAAAAACTCACCTTCTTCACAGCTGAAGGTATTTTTGTAACACAGCTTAAACCTTCCTGCTAATCATTTTAGCAGTCTATCCTTTTTTTCAGCATGTTTATATTCTAAATCTGTTGGAAAGCATTTCTGTAATGGCTCTGAAGGAAAAAAAAATGAATATATCCATGGCAAGCAGTAGCAGCATTATCAACATGCTTTCTTGAATTACTGGTGAATAAATATTCTGCCACTTGCATTTTACAGCCTTTCCCATATCAAAAGCACAAGTAAAGACACACTGTCACACGACAGCGGCAAAGTGATTACCACAGATTTTGCTAACTTCAACAGGAAAATGGCAGTAGCTGACAGAAGCCTTTGTTGATCTACTTTTAACAAAGGTCAACTGCAATCGCTCAAACACTATGTGTAACACTTGGTAACAAAACCTAGTGACTTTGTTGTGCAACCTTAATATTACTAGCCACAGATTCTTCCATTTGACCTGGTTTCTACTTTTGTGAAGAAATTGCCTAACATAGCGAGAGCAGTTGCTCTCCATTTATAATTTTGGTAAATTTAGCACGCATGAAATGTGTATATTCAATTTAACAGCCCCTTCAGATCATAGAAGAGTGCCATTTGAAAGCTATGTACTAAGTTCAGAAGATTTCAAATCCCGCAAGTCAAAAATCCCGGGACCACAGATGTCCATGGAATACCACTCTACAACTGCCCAGGTACGTATTTTGGCTCCCAAATATTTTAGATTAATATTCCAAAAGCCAGCTTTGAGGATAAAGATTTATGTCAATGTTAGCCAGGCAAAGCTAGTACTTAATTGAAGTAGAGGGGTGCACACATGTGAGAGAGCACATGAGAGCACCAGAACAGAAAATGTGTTTTCCTGAAGCAAATTGTATCAATGGATGATATCTGGCACAAATCTGAAGAAAATATAAAGTCTATCTTCTTGTAGAAAGATGTAAGCGTATGTCTTTCCAGTTCTAGAATTCCTAGCATCCCAAATGCTTCACTGAGACTTTTGCACTTTATTGCCCCTCTCCTTTCATGCTGACAACTTCAAAAAACCCATAAAAGAAACAAACATTTTCATTTCCTGCACACTGAGACAGCAGTAAAGTGAGCCTCCCACTTTGTCTCACACTACATTGGTGTAAGATGCCAATAAAGGGCA